AGTAACATTTAATTAATATTTATTTTTATTTGTTAATAGTTGATACTTATTTATCATTAATAGTAATACATAATAACCAATATTAATAAGGGTTATAATTGAAAAAAGTGATAAAAAAAAAACTCCTCATAAGCTACTCGAACATGCATTTCAATAAGCTAGCTTATGTCCATTCAAATATGTACCCCAAAAAATAAGCTAGCTTATGTTTGTCAAAAAATGTCTACATTAATTTGTTAAAATTATTTTGGTGCCTATCAATACATACATGTATCCATTTCAAAAAGTAAGTGTCCACATTTCTAACCTAGTTGTCTTAATATAACTGTCGACTTTTAAAAATAAATGTCTAGTTTTTCATTCTATCCTTAATTACGAGATGATGAAAATTTCTCTTTCTATCATTAAGGATAAAATTGTTTTTTAGTTAATCAAATAGAGTAATGTATATATTACCAATATTGTGTGTTGTTTTTCATCTGGACATTTATTTTAGGACAGATCCAACTTAACTCAATTTTTGTAGATTATCCCAAGCAAGTTTCGACCAATCTCTGATTTTTGTATGCTAGTAAAACCAAATCTGTCTAAAATAAAAACACTCCCATATGATTTTGGCCTAATAATCACAAGACGATAGCAATAAAATACATCAGTATTAACCTTTTATGGGTGATCATTAAAATACGAAAAATAATTCATTTGATTAGAATGTTTAGTAGTAGTGACACCCAGGCGTAAGAACATATATGTAATATTTTAATATAAAACGTATTCCTTTCCAACTTTCATTGTGTAAATCGTGAACGAGATTTGTTCATGAAACGTATGATGGTTATCAATATGGAGAATCTAGAAGTCATGTTGCTTGTGGTATTTATCTTGTTTCACGATATTTATTCACCAATCGTTCTAGGCGATTGTCTTGTTTAGATAAAAGGATGTCACGATGAAAACGATAAGAGAATCAAATGCAAGAATTTATACCAGGGACTGAAATTATAAATAGACAAAAGTAAAGGGGTGATATTAGCCACTATAATAAAGATAGTGTAGATGGCACAACTTCATATTCAAGCAAAGCGGCAAACTTGTGACCCCTTTTCACACTTTTATTCTTCTTTTTTCTCCAAATCCCAAAATCAATATTTAATTCATTTTAACGATGGATAGGAGATTCCAAATTTACCCCTGTCCTTTTCCATAAACGTTCTTGAGGCAAATATGTAATGGGAAGGGTATTTTAGTCAAAGTACGGAAAGTACAATTAGGGCTTGTTTGATAAGATGAGATGTGAATGTCTGAATGAGAGTTAGAAAAATCCCCCACCGCCAGTAGTGGCTCCAATTAAGGAATCACCAAACATTACAACACCTACTCATTCTTTCTTTTATTAGAGAAGGGTAGAATAGGTAAAAAGGATTATTGAATATATACATATAAAATTAATAAATATTATAGTATATTAATAAAATCATGAAATTAGTGAAGTAAGGGGGTGTTTGTTTACCTTTTAATAGTTTCATTAAGAGGCAACATTGAATCGTTAAGAGTTGAATCTTGTTTGACCAAAAAAAATCTGTCTTTTAATGGTTCTAAAACGTTCTGAATGATTTCGTATCTTGGATCTTCCTTAATCATTAAGAGCTCTAATTCATCGTACATAATTACCAAATAATTATATTTCATTTTTTACTATATTATAAAAGTCTTTTAACCATTATAAACATTTAATTATTTTGTATCAAATGATTCTGTAGATACGAGATAAAACATGAAAAAGAAAATCTTAATTGTGCTATTCTTTTTCTCTCTCTCCTGATTCGCCGCAATAAGTAGCGGTTCAGATTTCATTCTCTTCACACTTTCAACTCCCAACTCCCAACTTCTCATCTTCCTTCTCTTCCTTTCTGTGTGAAAATGGAGGTCAGGGGTTTAAGGTTTCTTGTAATTTTGTGTACCATTCTGACGGCCGTCAACGCTCGTATACCCGGAGTTTACACCGGCGGCCAGTGGGAGACTGCACACGCCACCTTCTACGGTGGCAGTGATGCCTCGGGTACCATGGGTGCGTAATCCCATTCCCCCTTTTTGATTTGCTAAATTTTTTAACCTGTTTCCTTATTTTACTAGACATTGAACCAATTGTTTTGCAGGTGGAGCATGTGGATATGGGAATTTGTATAGCCAAGGCTATGGCGTCAACACGGCGGCGTTGAGCACAGCTCTGTTTAACAACGGGCTGAGCTGCGGTGCTTGCTTTGAGATAAAGTGTGTGAATGATCCTCAGTGGTGCCACTCCGGCAGCCCATCTATTTTTGTAACGGCCACCAATTTCTGTCCTCCGAATTTCGCTCAGCCAAGCGATAATGGTGGATGGTGCAACCCTCCTCGAACCCATTTCGATCTTGCCATGCCCATGTTCCTCAAGATAGCCGAATACCGTGCCGGCATAGTTCCTGTCTCATACCGCCGGTTAGCCTTCTCTCCATATCTTCCAATTTTGCAAAAAATGGACGCCAGAAAACTTCTAAAATAATTCTCTTTTTTTTAATTAGATTTTTTTCCAAAATGTTTACCCGTAATTATAAAGTAGAAAAATTCATTATTTTCTTCAGTTAATAAAAAATATATAATTATTATATATTTTCACAATTATATAGTATTTTTAATGTTGTTAAATGATTTATTAATATAAAATCAAACTATGTACTAAAAATATAAAATATTGGGTGTTTGAGATTGCTTATAAAAACAACTTATTAACTTATTACGGTTTGACACCGGTAATAAACAATTTTGAGTGTTTGGATAAACAATTTATATCGATGTCAAACCGGTAATAAAGAGTTTTTGAAAAAGTTAAACTCTTCTGCCTTATAGAAAAATATAAGGAGTTGATAAATGCTTTTGTAGAAAAATATAAGTTATTTCAAATAAGCAATCCCAAACACCCCTTAGCAGTTTTAGGTATATGTAAACTTAACATATGTTTATTCTTTAAATTTTCTTAAGAATTTGACTTTCCAACCTGAAAAGAGGGACATGTGGGAAACCCTTCCAAACCGTGTTTCTACTTGTACGGTCTTGTTGGTATTTATATTTACATAATTACCCCTGTACAACACAATAATTATGAATTTATTTTGGTGACGTAGGGTGCCATGCCGAAAGCAAGGCGGAATAAGATTCACCATCAATGGATTCCGTTACTTCAACTTGGTTTTGATCACGAACGTGGCAGGTGCAGGGGATATCACCCGAGCATGGGTGAAAGGTTCGAGGACCGAATGGATGAGCCTTAGCCGTAACTGGGGTCAAAACTGGCAATCAAACGCAGTGCTCGTTGGCCAATCACTCTCCTTCAGGGTCACCGGTAGCGATCGTCGCACTTCCACCTCGTGGAACATCGTTCCCGCCAACTGGAAATTCGGACAGACTTTTGTCGGGAAAAATTTCCGAGTTTAGCTAGTTGAGCGAAACTAAAATCGTTTACCAATGTTTTGGACTTTTTAACATTAGTTACTATATAAAACATATGATACAGAAGAATTTTGTGTTAGGTCTGAAAGAAAATAGAGAAACAGGAGCAAGTTGTGTGTGTGTGTGTGTGTTTTTGAGGGGAATTTGAAGTGGTTTGTTACGAGTGGCTGAAGTGGCTATAAAGCCATGCCTCAACTCATGGCGGCCCGCAGCTTTCTTTTTCTTTATTATTATCATCAATACAATTATCTATTTTGTTTTGATTTAGCAGTCATAATATCTTACGTTTTTCAAGACATAGGTTAAGACGGCATATATATTCATATACACATGTCTATATACACTTGTATGTATTAGTTTTTGAATAATAATTGAATTCAAATTAAATTCACATAAAATAATGAGTAAACTACAAAGAAAAGAATAAAAAAAACATAAATGTCCCTTAGTGAGCATATTTAACGGATTTAGTGATCATAGACCATTTCCAAAGTAACATGTAAAAAGTAGGGATGATAATTGTAGTTATTGAAATTTAGGGATCACTTTCGAAAATTCATGCAAACCATAGAAACCAAAATTGTAGTTTACTCAAAAATAATAAAACTAAAAAAGAAATGCTTAACTATTGATACCAAAATATATATATATATATATATATATATATATATATATACACACATTTAAAAATGATATCAAGAGTGCAAAATCTAGAATAAATCTCTTGAATCTTCACTCATTACTTTTTATCAATTTTCAAAGAATCCGTATTCGACTTTTCGTGTAAGGAAATTCGAATAAATATTTATCTATTTGAGGTTTTAGTTTAAAATTTCTTTTTTACGCTTACTTAAATTTTAAGTCCTGTGCATGTAATATCATCTATTGTTCAAGTTATATATTAAAATAACCCCATATCTTACAAAATAATGTGTTGTAACATGTCGTAACGCGCCATAACGCATTACAAAGCAAGTCAAGCCTTACAGTGAAGTCATAGGGGTTAACATGACGACAAACCCAAACCTGTACGCCATAAGACCATAACAACTTACGTGAAACCATGATATTAACATATGCTAATTGTTAAAATTGTGATTTTTATTATGAGCAAAATTTAAACCTTGATTTAAAAAAAAAAAAAAATCTATGAAAACCCGGAAAAAGAGTAAAAATAGAATGAAAAGCTTTGCAAGAAACGATAAACGTGGAAGCTCAATAATTTTGCTCATGGCTCAAAGCTCAAAGCATAAAGATTTATATTCCTTTGTGCAATTGCTTAAAATCAATCAAGCCGAACATCGTGTATGTTACTTGGACACGAGAATCAATAAAATGATCCGCTTTAACCATTCAATTTAAATTAACTGTTAGTTTATAGTATTAACTAGGGTTGAGTTCACGTAAGAACAAATGTTTTTCGTGAGATCCGTAAGATCAATTTATGTTCATTGATCAACTTTATAAGGTAATGATCTAATGCTCTAAAGTTGCGCGATGACAATTTTGTGATTATTGAGAAGTCTCTTGACGTTTATAAATGTTCAGATCTGACGATTGTAGATCTAATCCAATGGTTGAGAATTGTTCTTATGGGTATCGCAAAAAACATTTGGTCTCACATGATCCCAAGTCGTGTTAACTATCGGTGAAAATACAAGTTATGTTCCTTAGATCAATCTTAATTGAAGGTCAACATTAATGAGATATACTATGTTCATTTCCTTCTAAAGCGTAATTCATTTGTGAACATGAGATGTACTATGTAGATATATTGTATGATAATTGCTAGAGGGTAATAATTAGGGATATTTACCTAAATAGTTAATTCATTAAATTAGTTTCACTTTTTAGCCATTTTGAATGTCTTGACATACATAATTAATGAAAAAACAAGGATATAACGTAAATTGAATATTAATTATAAGGGTTTAAAATGTAATTTTTTTAATCAATCAGAAACTTCACGTAGAAAATGGATTTTTTTCCGTAAACTCTACCTTTTTCTTTGCGTAAACTCTCATTTTCTGCGCAAACTTCTCATTTTTGTGTAAAGTCCCATTTTTATATCTCATTTCTTTTACCTTGAAAATAAACTTCACACATAAAATTCTTTTGTTTGCATAAAGTATTTTTGTAAACTTTGGCTATTTGAGAAAAAAGATATCTAAGGTGGCTAAAAAGTGAAATCACTTTAATGAATTAGCTATTTGGGTAAATTTTCCGTAATAATTATAGGCAAATGATCATGTAGGAAAAATAGTTAAGATAATAAGTGTAAGAAATGATTTGGACCTTTCATCGTCTTTAATCTCAAACACACCCATAAATTACGATTGATACGAGAATTGATTTGGTGCATCTCATCTTAACTTGCATCAAAGGGTGAAAATTTATTTTTACGCTTCTCACTTTAAATCTCATTCTCACAAAAACTCAGCCCAATAATTATAAATTTATAGTAGATAGAATATGTGCTCTATCTATGTTTTTTAACATGGTATCTTGTTTCTAAGTTGTGGGACACCTTATGGTGGGGCTTTAGATGCTATTTTTTAATAAGTGGAGTGGAAGTATATATAATATTTATAAACAATAAAGTAAACTCTAATGGAATGGCCATTTGATGACATGAGGTGCCTTTCTAGTTGAGACTATGAATGTTGAATTGTTGTGAGGTATGGTAAAAGTAGATATTTCATGTATCATTCAAGGTACATTTAATCGGAATAAAATAAAAAGAAATAACGAACGAATACAGATATTAATATAGAAAAAAGAAAGCACATATGCAATAGATCATAAGGATAGCTGAAACGACAACATATTTCTTAATATATTTTTATAATCACAGACAAAAATAGCCAAAAATTGCATAATAGATTAAAGATGTTCGAGAAAAATACAAATGAATATAGCACTCATGTAACGTGTCAAATGTTTGAAAGCATATATATAGAGAGGGAGGGAGGGAGGGGGAGGTAACCAAATAATATGATATGAAAACAGCTAAATCACGAACGGTCAACGCAAAAGTGTACGGACGACGTGACCCACAACCTTAAATCGTGGCCAAAGTTGCATGAATCACATGTGATTTTATACATGATTTTAGCATAAAATCAGATCTAGTTCAGTTGTTTTCTCATTCACTTATTTGCTTAATGTTCTCGTATAAATCTGACTCTATGTCTTTATACATACTACCACTCGCAACGAAAAAGTTGATCATAGTTTCCATCAATATCCAGCTCAATTCATGTCCTCTTGATCTCAAAGAATCTCACCCTCAACATTTTTCACCGTGTGGTTGAATTGTTATATAAACTAGTTATATAAATTTGGAGCCATATTGTAATCATAATCATTGCGTTTTTTTGTAACCATGGGTGTGCAGACCAATTTTCACGTATATCAACTAATCTCAAATGACCCTAAAGATAACAATCAGAAAAATCCTCGTTAGCACCGAGAAGACTTGATTTAACAACCTACAAGGAGTTCCAAGGTCGAGTGATTCCATGGTCATGGCGTTCAAAGCAAGAAAAGGAGGCTCAAGAACACATTAGGGACCAAATGCTAACACCGTAAGAGTCACCACTCTCATTTACCTTATAGAGTAAGATTCTTGAACATCAAAATGACGTAGTAGACAATAATCTTACACGGTAAGAGTGACCACCCTCATTTGTCAAGTAAGATTGTAGGTCCTTGCCATGCATCTTAGCAGATAAGATTTTCGGTCATTGCCACACTTACCTAGTAAGTTAAGCCATAAGTGAGCCGGTTAGTGCTTACCCGGTTATCGTTTGGTAAATGGCCTTCCACTCAGCTAGCTTCTTTTTGAACTTCAGATATCTTATTTACCCCAATTAAATTCAGAGATAGTCGAAGAAAAAAACCCCTCTTAATTTTGGCAGAGGCAGCTCTTTGATCACGTTAATCACGTACAGAGCGGTGTTAGATGGGTTCATTTGAAACCACATACCATAGCCTTGAGATTACGCATTTCTTGGAGTCTGCAAAAATGATCGCATCATCGGCATATTTGACAAGATTTTGATCAATCCGAGTCTGCTGTGCTGAGGAAGAACGTACCGCACCTATTTGCAAAGATATTTGCTGTTATTCTGTGAGGAGCATCAAGGAGGCTAATGCGCAACAACTTCCTTTGGAGCATCAGAATTAGAATGATGAAGCTGGAATTACACCCAATCAGCTCTATGCAAGATTAGCATAGAATAATAAGCATACACAAAAAAAGAAACCTCCACTCTTTTCCAAGAAACATCATCAAAATAGCCCCACCACCTTTGCAGAAACCTTCATCAGGGTCTTTTGGAAAACCTTCACCAGCCAAATTCTGCAGAAACTAAACAATGTTGTTTTCTTGCCAAAAATATATCAGTTATCACAAGCCAGCCATACAAAAACCAATGACCAAATGCCACCAACAATTATTAGTATTACCACATCATAGTCTTGATGGAAAGTTTGTTGGAGAGTCTTATCATAAATAATTCCTAAATTCAATCTGAATCCATGCTCATCTTTGTACCAAGCAGACAACACTACCACCAAACCCTGAAACAAGCAGTCTATTAAACATTCGAATTGTCACATGTTACGCCTGCGTTTCTGAACATCCCACATGTTTAGAAGATAAGAAACTCCCTCCTGCAAACTAGCTTTCCTCCCTTCTGTGAAGTTCCACAGCTCAGTGGTGATGTATCTTCCACTTGGATTGTAGTCGTTAATCTCTGTCAACGCAGTTGTCACAGCTTTATACACGTCTTCACCCAGGTCTCGCTTTAGACCTTTCAGTTTATCATCATTTTCCTCAATGATTCCCTGCTCCAATAACATCAAACTTTTAGGTGCGATCTTCTTATGCAAGAATGTGCCAGTAGAAGAACATACTCTACAGAATTGACTCAAATTGAAGTAGATAAAATGAAATCTAGTGGACCCAAATCTTGAATACCCTTCACTGAATCTTTGTAATGATGATGACATGCAAAAGTGTTAGTTTTAGTGCAAGACATTGTGAAGCATACAAATATACCCTATTGAAGTTACGATTTTAGAACCTCCTATCATGTTCACTGCCTCTATCTGTAGGTCATAGTGTAGTGCAAGATTTGCAACCATTAATCCTTAATATAGCCTCTCGACTTTATACTCGCTTGATTTGATGATTAGTGAATAAATAAATTAGAGACTCGTCAATCCAAGAACCTGTAGACCTTAAGTTGTGAGCAAATGACCCCTTGTTATTTTCCATGTATGACATCCATAAAAAATTGAGGCTGGCAACATAATCTTCTGTCCATATATTTGGTAAAAACACACCTGTGATTTCCCGTTGACAGTAATGATTCTGAAAGGATGCCAATTGGGATCTCTGAGGTACTCTTCCCACAATGAGCAGAGTTCTGAAGCCCTATCTTCTGCATCCATGTCTCCATACTTTCTCTTCACGGCATCATGGAAGGGTTTATTCTCAAGCTCACCCATCCTCTTGACACCGATATGTGAAGTTTTTGGTAGTTCCTTCAAGCCCTACACAAAAGGTGCATTAAGTTTTTTCATCCAGATAACAAAATTTCTTGTAAGATTGACCAATCATGGAGCAAACAAATTTCTAATATTTATTCTACATAGATGTGCAATCTAATGAAAAGCTTGTCAAGGGTTAAAACTTAAAATCATAAACACAAGAACCACAGAAGAAAGGAGATCGTTCTCATCAGTAATGGAAGGAAAATACTTCAATGGCTCCAGTAACCATCACCTACAGATTGTTATACCACATTGCCTCTTGCTTTTTTTTCTTTTTTTCGGAGTGTTGCTCTCATGTCCCATAATAACCACATATACGGTGTACATTCATAGATATCTTTTAAGAATAACCACACATCATCATGACGCTAAACAAACTACTAAAAGTAGAACCAAGAGGCACTTACCTCGATTAATTCTTTGCGAGCATCCTGCAGCTCATCATTGCTTTTGCGTTCCTGAACAACAAGAGTTTGATTCAAGCTTTCCAAATCATCAAGCTCTTCTTCCTTTTCCCTTAAGTTCTTGTGTATGTCCTCCACCTTCTTCAGGACCTCCAAATCATCATCTCCCATGTGCTTCATAACATTTAATTGCCCTCTCAAACGTTCTATCTCAAGCTCCACTGCTTGCTTTGCATCCAGTTGTTTCTCAAGCATAATAATTTTCTTGTGGAGTTCCTCCTTCTCCCTCTGAAAGTTGATAATCACATACCCACAACACATGATCGCAACAGTGAAATATCTTGAGCAACATTTAACATCTAGAAAAAGTTAAAAACACAAACCTTCTGATCTTCAGCAAGTTTCATCACACTTTCATCAGCTTTCCTTTGTTCATCAGACGCCATCTGAAGCAGGCTATTTTTCACGGTATTCTGGCAGAAGAGGGGAAAAACCATAAGGTGATCATTTGAATATTTAAAGAAAGATTCTGGTGCAAGTAAAAACTGAGCAAGCCAATAATAAGTATCATCATTAACAGCGCTTGAGACGATAACTAGATGTTGCTTTGAGCAGGTTTCTCACAAAAATATATGTACATATTAAGAAAATGAAAGGAACTGCTTTTCTGTAGCCATGAACTCGTTCCAACTCCAAGAGGAACATTCTGAATAAGCATGATACACTATAAATAACAATTGCAGAATTGCATGGTTTAAAGAAACCAGACAACTTGTATATATTGATTAGAAAGCTCTATGATGGTCCAAAGCATACGAAAATAAATGAGAAAAAACATAAAAGAATAACCAGGAATCAAATATCACACCTCCTCAATCTCTTCGGATAGTTTTTTCCTTTCATTTTCATTCACCACTTCACGTTTCTCTAGTTCATTGCCCCGAAGCTCAAGTTCTCTCTTTTGGTTTTCGAGCTGCAGTTTAATCTTTTCATGATCATTGAAGATCCTTTGGAAATGCTCTCGTGCACTAACCTGGATCTTCTTTATCTCTGATTAATAGAAGCAAGTTAGTAAGTAATGGTATATATAGCAAATGAATAGCAGAACTCAGAGAACATCAAGAACCTTCATTATAGGCCTGATGAAGCACATCTTTTTCTGAAATTAGCTTGCTGAGGGAATTTTCAGTCTCAACAAATTTGTTCTCCATCTCTTCCAAGTGTCTCTTCTTCACCTCGATTACATTTGTCAAATTCGACACAAGTGTATTGGCCTTGCGATCTTCTTCCGCCATGATATCCGAAACGGTCCGTAGATCACCAATCTTGCGGAGATGCTCTCCAATGATGTTATTAGCTCTGTAATCATCAGCTCGAGCAACCCAACCATAAATAGCATCCTTAGGTTCAGTATTAACCTTCCAGTCCTTTTTACCATGATGATCAGCCTCATAAGCCTTCTCAAATGACATTGCATTATTAAAGCCATCCCAACCTTTATTAAATTCAACTACAGCACATCCAGAATGACCACGGAAGTTCCATAAAGGATGCACCCTCGTGGGGTTGAACCCTCTTGTAGTTAGATAGTCCCTCATGTTTGAGCCACTTTTTCCAACATAGCGCCCATCCTTCAATTCGGTTGGGAGGTTAACAACGATTCCCTTCCATGGCCATACAAACATCTCATCACCATCATGGTCTGCAAGGTGATCGACCTCGTCTTTAGGTTTTGATGGACCAGACATTTCGGCTATATCTTTCTCAAGAAACTTAACAAGTGCAAGATGATTTGCCTTGTCTCTCGCATTTCTCTTTTGTGAATCACTTTTCCCCACCATTGTAGCATGCTGCAGTAGCTCCTTGTACTGATAATCACGCTTTTTCTTATTACGACAGTATGGACAAGTGAAAGTTTCATCGGATAACTTGACCCGATGCTTTCCACCTTTTAGCTCCTCATAAGATTTATCCACAAATTCCTCTACTTCAGAATCACTTCCATCAGTGTCTCCTCCAGAGCTTTGATCCATATAATCCTCCATTTTTGTTCAGCAAAAAAGGCTAACAACAACTGGAAAAAGAACATATGAAAAAGATTGTCATATGCATATAGATATAGATATATCAAAATTTGTTTCTTTCCAACAGAATGATACAACCAAGATCAATCTATTAAACAGATGGAGGATTATACGGATCAAAGTTATGAACAGATGCAAAGTTATGTAACTCATACATCGTCACTTTTGCATATTATTTTCTTAGCATTCAGTGTCCGTTATCTAGATGCCATTGGTTTCCAGAAACAATGAGCTGATGATAAGTTCCTTCTACAAGCATATAAGCTACAATCAGCATTATCTGCATTCTTTTTTGTTAAGATTGTGAATCATACACATGGTATTAATAACATTAGGATGTGATAGAACAAACACGACATATTTACATGATTAAAACCAAGTCTCCTATATTCATGATCTTTGCGAAGATTCTCATCATATATCTTCTAATTACAGTATGTACATAAAAACAGAACCAGTTTGGTCCCATTTACAAAATACAGCAGAATGCGAAACTAGATAAGATATATAAAAGCTTCTTCCTAACCATCAAAACAAACTTTTTTTGTGACAAGATCAAATTGTGGATCTGAAATTGTGGATAGTTTATATGGTCTGAATCAGACTCATATCCACCATTCTTCACAATCCTCCTACAACATGTTTTGTGATCATCGCATGATTAAGAGTCACACAGACATTGTTCTGCATTTTTAATCCACAAAATACTCGTTTGCACATGATTCTGCATACTTAAACCAGGGTGTATTCTTTTGTTGCTTTGCTTCCTGTACTAACCAATCAAGGGAAATGTATCCCATCCCCTTTCACTCCTACAAAACACCCTTTTACTGTTTATATCTATTCTTCTCCACAAGCCCGAATGCAAGTCCTTCCAGGTCATACCATCTCTATCTCTCATAGAAAATCGTAAAATCCTCTCACATTTCAAAACTACAACCATCATTGTTATGATTACTGGGAAAAAACTTGTATCCCCGATAATTAAAAAATATACACAAAAAAAAAACCTACTTTCTTAAGAGTTAATAGAGCCCTTACGAACACAAACAAAACCCCCAATTTTTACAATCCAATTGCAAACCTTACTCGACAATTCAATTTCGAGTATCACTAAAAATCATAAAGAAAGAAAACATAAAATGCATTTCATAAACTACATATAATGCACACAGAAAAATAGAGACAACAGCTAATTACTTAGAAAAATTAAGAGCTAACTCCGGTTGTGTTGGTGTGTGCAGAAAGAGCGAGAGAGAGAGCAGGTACCTGGAATTAACCATACAAATTGGGGATTGTATTATAAATAAAGATAATCGAAAGATAGGAAGATAAATTTAGGGTTTTGGGTTTGGTGGAGGAGGAGAAGAAGCAGCAGAGGGAAGAGGGGATTGTGACTTGGGTTGACGAGAAACGCAAAATACCATGGAAAGATACCAGAAAAAGGGAAAACCAAAGTAAAGTAAAGTGCTTTTGGCGTATATGATTATTGTATTTGTACTTTCTACTCCCGATATCCACTATTATTTATTCATTATTTAAAGCTACAAGTGCACCACCATACATTCATTTTTATTTTTATCACTATTATTAGTGGTAAAGACATGAAATAACAAAATATTTTTATAAATTTTTTTATTATAGTATTATATTTTTTTTATTATAGCAATATGTTTTTAAATTATTTTTTATTAAGATATTGTACTTTAAAAAATCTACCTAATATATTAATGGATAACCTGTTATCTTTTAAACCGGTTAACCCATTAAGTTTTTTTGCTTGTGTGGCTTTAATGAGGTGATGTGGATGACACTTCATTTTGATGATTTTAAAATAAAAATAAAAACTTATTTTAAATTATTATTATTATTGATTTTTATTTTTCATTGCTATGATTTAAAAAAATATTTAATTATTTTTGAGTTTTTCTTATTAAGTTACATGTAAATTAAGTATTCTAAAGTAAAATATTTCTTAAATAAATATGATACATTATTTTCGAGATATATTTTGTTTGTAAAAAAGGTAACACTTCTTATTTTATGTTGTTCAAAAAAATACATATCTTTTAAAGTTTTCTCTAAAATGTTAACGAAATAAATTATGATCTACAATTTTTTTTAATATTGTTATATGAATAAATATTCAAAAAATCTAATTGATTTAATATATTTATACGTCAAGTAAAAGTTTTTGAATAAATATGATATATTCTTTAAAACATAATATTTTTTGGTAAAAAAGGAACAATTAATTTTTTTTTTCAAAAAACACATATTTTTTAAAAATATTAGCAAGATAAGTTGTATTATGCTAGTTTTATTAATATTGGTATATTAATGAATATTTTAGATTTTTTTAATATATTTATTAAATATTATGTAAAATATCTAAATATTAAAAAATAAATGTATATTGTTAAGAACTAATAGATGTTATAATAAATAATTTTGAAAGTATAATGTTGTAATAAGAAAGTCACATCACTATGATACATGTGGACAACCTATGTGGACGATGAGATGACATGGAAACCTGGTATAATGGGTAAATTTAAATCAAAAGATTAGTCAATGTTATAATGGGTAAATTTTTCAAAAGTACAATGTTCTAATAAAAAATAGTTTGAAATTACATTGCTGTAATAAGAAAAAATGAAATTATAATGCTATAATAAAAAAAATTATGAAAGTAGATTGTTATTTTGTACATTTTACCCTTTATTTTTATTTTTATTTTTAAGATTTTCAAGATTAATTATATTTTTTTCATTTACCGAATTAATAGGGTTCAATGTTTATTAATAAGTTGTACTCGAATGTATAAAAATTATCAAGTTGAACCAACTTCCAAATGTAACAAAGTTATTATCTTTCATGTCTTAATCGGAAGTAGAATCTACATATCAAAAAGGTTTATTGGTGGGGACCACATGGTCCCGTGGTCCATATTTTGTGAACCCTACTTGCCATATCTCATAAGCAAGCACCGGAAAAGACAACATGTCCTCCCCTGGAATCGAACCCGGGTGGGCACGTTCAAGACAAGACATTTACGGAAGGAGGTGGCCACTAGACCAAGGCCTAGTGGTTAGAATCTATATATCAGATATAGGCAAACATGTCATCTACCCATAAGACTTAATTAAACATTGCCATAGAAATATATATGTGCTGAATATATGGCTGTTTATATAAATAAGAATGAAAAGAATAATGCATGACTACTACACGATTTTTGCTTCCTAATTTCCTCTTTCTATTCATGCAGGCAACAAGTATCGGAATTCATATACATATGGCTGAATCTCTATCAGTTTAGCAGGACTGGATTTGGTTTCACCATTCAGACACTCCATTATCAACCTTTTCAGCGATCCTGATTGTGGTAACTGGCTGTATATCCATTCCAGAAGTGACTCCATATCATCTGCAAAATCCTTTATGTGCCATTGTAGAAGCTTTGGCACCATTATCTTTTTCTTGCTAACAACCCCCACACAGGCTTCCAGATACTCCAATCTTGCTCTTGCCAATTCATCCACTATATCTTCTGCTGTATAAACCCTCAACTGCAAATTAAATTACAATATCCCCCTCCATCATCAACTTACTAATGAGATGTTAAAATATGTCTAAATGTTCTAATATACTTACGGCTGGTGAAGACCAGCTCCCCCTGCAAAGAGCGAAAGTCACGTTGGGTTCCGGGAACCCGAGTCCGTAGGCGTGTCGTAAAACCATTTCTCTCTCATCAGCTGGACCCTTGAAGGATTAATTATAATAACATTTGTCAGATTTAATTATATCTTTCAAGAATATATTTCTAAAGTAGTGGTTTTGGTTTCAACTTACATGATTGGGGTTGGATGGATGACGAAGAATGAAGTGCTCAATTCCCAGTGCATTTACCACAATGCCACCCACGTTGATTACTGCCTGAATCATACAAGTTATATATGCATCACTTTATTAAGACATTAAGACATATATGACGTCTAGTAAAGATGGGTTTTGTTGTGGTGGATTGAGCTTAATTATGCTCCATTGGCCTAATGATAGAATCCAAGGCGTACCTTGTTCATGAGAACCAGTAGTTTCTCCTGTGTTGAGGGCAATCCATGTTGTAGAAACGCCTGCAACAATATACACATAACAAACCTTCTTAAATCTTAATGATATGTATATGCATACATATATGCATGTATGTGTGTTGGGATTTCATTTTAACCGATTTAAGATGTCTTACAGTACATGCATTATGCAGGCGTTGTATATATTGATCCAGAATGCTAACTTCTGCTTGTATGTCAACAGATTCAAATCCACAGTGCACAGTTTCTGCATCAAAACCCTGAAAGAAAGTAACATATATAGCATGACAAAAATATGATATGACAGTTTTATGAAATCATGAAGGTTTCATTACAAATTACCTGAGTTTTCCAACTTGTGTGGAACATTGAGAAATGCGAGTATGGTCGAGTGAATTGAGTGTGATTTGGGTGAAAGTTTTGTACGGACCAATATCTCTGATTCCACCATCAAAATCAAGTAATATGGCATAAGGGTCAAGATTTGAAGCATGATTGTTGAAGAAAAATGGTGGTGCTGTACAATTGAAGGTTGTTTTAAAGCTTTTGGAATTCATGCAAGAGATTTGTTTAGGTACATAATCTGACCCATCTTCACCATCCAGCAATGGCTGATTCAGTTCCAGGAATATCCCTATTAAACACTTAATAAGATCTTCGGACAACTTATTCGGACTTTTTGTATCAAAATTCTTATATCTCGAATACTCAGTTATACGATCGTCTGTTCCCAGAACCGAAAGCCGAAGCTTAGAATGTTTAATGTCAATTGAAGAACCAAAAGAGGGTCTTCTCTGTCTCACATGAAGTCCATAATCTTGTAATTGATCATCATAACCCATGAACTTTGGTTGATTTTGTTGCCTTCGAAACGATTGTTTTCGTGGTCGGACTGGTTGCAAGTCTCTTAGCTTCTGCAACTCCCATTCTCTGGTCTGTTTTTTCTCTAGAAACAAACTCAGGTTCAACTTGTCGACTTTCCTTTCCAGAAAAGTAATTTCTTCCTCCACCATAGCCAGTTCTGTAAGCAGCTCTTTTATCTGCAATCAATGAAACAATCAAAGACTGATTCATAGCTGGCCTTTAATTTGGGAGAAATTTGAGATATGATCAAAAAGATACCTTAGAGGGAAGGTGTGTGGAGAAACATGGACAATAGGTGTGGATGGAATTGGGATTGGGATCACGGAGTGCATAGTTCAAGATTTTGGTGAGTTTCAGCTCTTGTTCTAATTCTGCTTCAAGTTGGTCAACCTTTTTGATCATCAGAAACAACCCATTTATGATCAGGTACTTAAATATATGGGAATTCAGTCTTATTTGAATACAGGAAACAGGAAGAAGATTACAATACCTCTTGTTGAAGATCCATTGTTTTTTGCTTCTGGCGAGTCTCCTGCATGATCAGCTCTTCAAATTTCATTCTACTGAAATTATGGAGGGAGAAAGATGAGAAAGGAGGGGACTGTAGAGATCTATTATATAGCAGCCGTCAGCTGCATGTTGCCTACTTGTTAATAACTATTTGATTTAAGATGGTGGATAAATACTTTTTTTCGTTAACCGTTCGTCTTAAGACTATCTTGTGTGTATCTCGATTAATCACAAACAACCATAACAAGTACAAGTGAATTAAGCTACTTAAAAAGTAGTGGATGAATACAAGATAGGTTGGAGGTGAGTAATAGTTGATAAAAACAGGAAGAGGTGACGAGCGGTGGTGAAGTGATGTTGGTGGTGGCGACGTGAAACCCATGAAAAGCATAAAACACTCACCCACTTCAGGCTCAGGGAACAACTTTTTGGCAGGGTCAATGCTCCATCACATGTGCCTTTTTCGCCCGTGATGCATGTCATTTTGATACTTGTTTCACCAATTTTATCTAAATTTCAGTGAAATATATAATACGTAGTGGGTTTTTGATCAAGATAATGACATCATGTTACATGTTATCTAACTTATAATAGAAAATTTTAAATCGATTTTGTGGGACAATAATTTGTATATTTTTTTAAGTGTTTTGTGATTGATGTGGAAGGGGAGGCAACATGTGCTGGTCACGAGCTTCAAAGCAAAGAAAAAGAAGACAGGAATGATGCTACAAAAATAAAATATATAGGGAAAAACGCTATTTTGGGGGACTCGAACCCACGACCACGTGGCTAAAAGCCACGCGCTCTACCAACCAAGCTAGAACGGCCAATTGTCTTATTTGGTGTTTAAAACTCTCTTATTGTGATATTTTTAATATATTCCATTGAATTTTTTAAGAATAAATTTAATAGAAATTTGGAATATGGAAAATAAAGTGATCATAAAACTGTATTTTTCTTTATTACCCTTAAAAAAACTTTTTTCTTCTTAATTATAAAATATATAATATCAATATTATATTACAAAATATTTGATAAAAACTATTTTTATATTGAAATAATGTTTATATATAACTAATTCATGACTTTATATAAAATATATATTATCATATAAATCAAATAAAGTTATTTCAACTCGAAAATTAACATAATATTTTATAAGAAATTAAATTGAACAGGATTTTATGAAAATCACTTGATTTATTGGTTTTCTGAGAGGCCGTTTACCTAAACACTTATCCGGTAAGCATTTATCAGTAAAATTTAATATTATCGATTATTTACCAGGTAAGATTCTAGTCACTAAAATGCATCGTATGTATAAAAAAGTCTTTGTTCTCACTTATCGGGTAAGGCTCTCGATTATTGTATTCGCTCTTACCGGGTAAGATTTTTAGTCACTGTCATATTCATCCAGTAAAGTAAAGTGACTTGATAAATACTTATCCGGATAAGCGTTTGTAAACTACAACTAACTCTCTTTCACATTGCACAAGGAGTTCATCCAATCTCCATGATTTACAAAATCATGATTGTTAATTATTAACATTCATTTTTTATATTTAATAATTATTATTTTTATTCATTCGTTGATTATTCGAATTTTCACTTGTATATAAACTTTAAATATAAAATGGTTTATTTGAATTTTCACTCAATTAAAATCCATTGGACACACGATTTGCCTTCTTCATAATGATCCTCAAGACTCTAAAGGACGATATCATACTTTTTTTGCAGAATATGATTCAACCACAACCGTTAACAAACATACAGCAAACAAAGTATGAACCTTGATCACACTTTAAAGTTTCATGAACAAACGTCTACAGACTACGATCTCCAACTATATATTGAAGTCATTACCCATAAACTACCACTGACTCTCTTTCCATCCTCCGAATACTTCCTCATCATAAGTTTCAGTTTCCTCCTGTATCAGTATAAAACCAAAAAAATATAAGCAAAACTATTAAAGATTCTGTCATTTTTGTATCTTTTTATGTTCATTAGTGAGTACCCTTGGAGTGAAGGTAAGACCCACTCGAATCTCTCCAGAGTAGCTTTGGCTACTATTCACAACATTATACTTATGAGGATGTAGTTCCGCGATTCCATTCTCAACTCCTTGTTCCAATAGTTCTTTCAAGTATATCCTGCATCATTCATAAGTTTGAATATTGGATCGTTTTTAGGATAATGCATCTCCAAGAACTAATCAAGTAGTGATAGTATATTTGTGAAAGTAGAATCAGATTTGATTTGATTAAGGTCTTACGTTGTTAGTCCGATGTAGTCATCAGATGAGAAGGTATCTTGGTCCATAATCGTGAGAAGAAGCTTAGGTTGTTGATCTGCTCCCGGATATTCTACCCTGAATGTGAATTTCTCGTTCCACTTTGGGTTGCTGCCCTGCCCTGCATCATTTATGGTTTGCAAGTATGATCATTTGGTTTGCAGTTAGCTTTACATGCAATTGCATTGTTAACTTAATGAACCTATATATACTTGTTAATTCAATTGCTTAAAGTTTTACCGTTGGCAATGCTGCTCTTATGCTCTTGATTCTTGTATTGGATCAACACATACGGATCTATTTTGTCTGCACAAATAGCATACAAGTTTTATATGATTATAAATCTATCAATTTATATTGTTGATTAAGATTCGTACATGTTTCAATCTTAGGTAAAAATATTACCAAACAGTTATCCGGTAAACGCTTACTAGGTCCCTTTATTGTACAAGATGAACATGATAATGAACGAGAATCTTACTCGATAAGGGCCCAGAGTCTTACCTTCAGTAAGTGCTTAACGGATAAGTTAAAAAAAAAATATAGCTTAACTAGAACATGGGTCATTTATGTACAAGGAACCAACTAACCACTTTATACTAATAATGGGAAATATTTCAATAGATTTGTTTTTATAGTCAAATTGTATTATTATTTAGAAAATTTTCTAAATTTGCCTCTAATAAGTATTATAAGAAAAAGAAAAAACAAAAAAGGAAATGAATAATTCAGTAAAACTTCAGTGGGTCACCAAAAACATTTTGGTGCCATTAGGGTGTGTTTGGTATACTGGACATGACAGTAATCTCTGTCTCATGTTTGACATGATTTTTATGTAGAACATACAGAAACAAAGTAGAATAGGCATGTTCCACCCCTACCCCATGGAATAGGGTGGAACAAGGTGGAACAGACTTATATTTTATCAATATAACCTCAAATAAAACTTAATTATCTACTAAAACATCAAATAGGTCTATTTTTTTTATATTTTATTCATTCTTTAAACATTATTTATCGTATTTTTGTTTCTTAAACTTTCATTTTATTGTCCTCAAAATATTATTTTTATACGGTTTCTATATTTTTATTAATTTATGTAATTTATTATATATTAATAATAATAAATAATGTAGAAAATAAATAAAGAAAAATGGAAACTACATAAACTTTTTTTTGTCATTTTAATTGTTTTGACGAAAATTTTCGCATGATATATTTTGTTATAAAAATAATTAGTCTATTATAATTTAATAAATTACATGAATTAATTAAAATAAACAATTCATTAGGGGTAAATTAGTCATTTTACTTGTTTTGTTCTATCCAATTTTTATCTTACTAAATATTAAATAATTATTCTATCATGTTATGTCTTATCATGTCATGACTTTAATATTGAACCATATTAGGTGTGGACTGTGGAACACACATTGAATAGAGTATCAAACACTTCAATGCATAGCTAGTTAGCTACCTGCCTAGTGCCTACCATCTGAATCATAAATAACTTTCCAAAAATATATTGAAGAGAAAATAGAAAGTTGAGAGTTTATTAAAAAACTCTTTAAAATTAAAAAAAAAAATAGATAAAATCTTCAAATTCTCTAAAATTTAACATTCATTTTTTAATTGCTTACCATAAAAAGAAAAGTCTTCTTATATGAATTTTTATTTTATTCTAGTTTGTTGTAAAATGTCATTTTATAAAAACTTTATTAAATATTATTATTTTATATAAAGTTTATTCTTACATAAAATTTGTTGGAAATTATCATTTTTATATAATATCTGTTAAAAAAGTTATTGTGATTGTTTGCATTTATATAAAAGTTTGTTAAAAAATTAAATGTATTGAATATTTTAATAAAATAATTAATGTCAGGATCTTTAAAAAATGGAAGATTTTGTTGGAATTAAATGTAAGATTTTTAAAGATTTAAATTTATAATAATGCATAGAAGATTTGCTAAAGATGTTCCAAGTCCAATAAAGCTATGTTTGGAAAGGAACCAGTGGATAAGGTAACTATTAATATTAGCCGAAAAAACTATCTGTTAGCTAATAAACTAGTTGATAAGCTAATTCTTAGTTCTTAAACTGGTCATATTTGAGTAAGGTAGATGACAATATAAACGACTTAAAAAGACATGTTAAAAAATATAAGAGGAATAGTAAAATGAAAGTGGAAAAAACTATGAAACTTATTACAACATCCGTTGAAATAGTTTCTCAAAACTATAGTTTTTGGTTAATCAAACCAAGTTTTTTTTTCTTCATAAAGCTCAAAAAATAAGTTGGTGTCATCAAACCTGGCCTAATTTCATATAAATAACCAAATACAACCAACTTTGTTATTAAAAGAAAAGGCATCGAGGCCTTGATAAGACTAGAGATGTATAAGTGATGAAATAGCGCAATAAACTGTCATTAGATTTTTTTCCAATTTCAACCCAGATTTTATGAGAAACATATATAATAGAACAAAATGCATTAAAATGTAACGAAATTTATATGAGTTTATTTAGTGTAGTAAATAATCAACATTAAGAAGGTTTCAAACTTCAATACAATAAAGTTTCAATTTTTCCTATTAATGTCAGCCTTTCTTTATGTAAATATCAAGTTCAACATCCACGCACGTAAACCGTTTATAAAACCTTTGTAAATCGTTATCCGCATCATTGAATGTTAGAAGATCAATACATTACCAGTCAAAATATATATATATATATATAATAAGGGATTTTGAAACTTCATTACATAAATTGAAGAACTTTGAGCAAAAGTGCGTAGAATAAGTATAAGAAGTGAGAATGAAACGTACTGAGAAAATCGGATTTGGTGAGACCGTGAGCATCCACCAGATTCACCTCCAACACTCCGATCGTCATCTCGCTTAAATTCAGATTTCTCTCTCTCTCTCCCAAAATCACACCGAAGAAGGTAATGGAAATGATAAAAATTGAAAATCACACGCAGACGGCAAAATACCTGAACGATGAGCTATAAAGAAAGGAAGACGTGAGTAGCTATCATAAATATTTACAACTTAATCCCCCAAACTTTGAACTCTTGCCAATCAGCCTACTCTTGTATTGTTATTTAACTAATTTTGGTCCCTCAACTATTATTTACTTTTCAGGTTTAGTTCAAAAAAATTAATTATTTTAACATCAGTCCCAAAAGAAGCAATTAATAACGACTTGGTTTTGTTTTAACTTTAACTCCGTTCTAATTGAGACGCTAAATGCAACCACGTGATGTGCGAGTGACGGGTTTTTTAAAGAAAAAATTGCATCAAAATGGAACTAACTTTCACATTATTCTTATTTTGATGAACCAACTTTTAAAATCTTCATTTAAGGGTCTCTATCAAACTTTTTGTTTATTTAAGGGTCTGGTTGACATGTTGAACAGGTAACAAGTAATTTAATATGATTTGGAAGAAAATTAGTTAAACAAATATTATGTGGAACTTATTTTCACAAATCATCATTATAATTAGAACAAATCAAAATGAAGTCCGCTTCACGTCTCCTACCTCGGTCGCAATACAGCCCCTCCCTCTTCCTTCAATTGTCGTCGTCCCATAGCCTCCTGCCGCTGTAGCTTTCTGCTCTCTTCGACAGCCGCTGCCCCTCCCTCTTCCTTCAATCGCTATCATCCCATAGCTTCTTGCCGCAGTAGTTTTCTGCCCTCTTCGACAGGCTGTCTTCTCCGCATTTGATATTTGATATTTATTTTTTATTGCATCAATTAATTTTTTTATTAAAAAAAAAAGAGATTTGGAAACATCTTCAATTTGATATTTGAATTTTTTTTTATTTAAAAAATGAGATTTGGAAAGAAAAATAGATTTTATTGCATTAATTTTTTTATAATTAATTTTTGAAAAAAAAAACGAATTTTAGTTAATTTTATATAATTATTTTGCAATTTTAAAATATGACGTGGATTTAAAATAAAAAATTAATATGACGTGAAATATTTTAGTTGGCAAAAGATCTGGATTATGTCATTATTAACAGGTCAACCAAACCCTTAAATAAACAAAAAGTTTGATAGAGAATCTTAAATGAAAAATTTAAAAGTTGGTTCCCAAAATAGAAATAAAATAAAATTTGTTTTATTTTGATGCAATTTTTCCTTTTTTAAATCATAATTTTTTATTTTATTTAAAATAATATTCATAAACAACATATAATATATTTCATAAATATTAACTAATTAACAAATAAAAACCTAAACCTAATTATTTATCAAAACAATTCCAAAACCTTAATTACCTCAAACATGACCGTTATTTAAAATTGGGCTTCTGATTATTAAAGATTAAGAAGATAAACAACAAGTCCTTATCTTTTATCATAAAAACAGACTTTTCATCGTCAAATAACATGTAGACAATTCGAGTTTGATGCTCTTCAACTTATTGGAAATGAGTCGTTATTTCATGATTGCTGGTAATTAACTATATATTATTTGCTTCACTGTTAATGTCAAAAAGTTGATAATAATTCAATCCTACCATTTTCACTAAGGGGGTGTTTGGGATTGCTTATGAAACCTATTTTTTAACTTATTTCAGTCTGGCACCGGTGATAAGCTGTTTTTTAGTGTTTGGGTAAGGATAAAAACTGTTTATACCGGTGTCAAACCGGTAATAAGCAATTTTTGATAAGTTAATCATTCTTGACTTATGAAAATGAACTTATTACCAGTTTACCATTTTAACCTTGTGTAAACACCCTTTCTCCAATATTGCACATACATCATCGATGATATCTCTTCTCCAATAACAAATACCTCTCATCGTCTCTTCTCCAACAGATACATCTCATCGTCTCTTCTCCAACGAACACCCCCATCATCATCGCCTCTTCTCCAATCTATATACCTTCCTCCATATATCTCTTCTCCTCCACCCCCATCATCGTCTACCCTAACCCTAGAGATCGATACCCTAACAGATACGCTTATCACTGCCTGTGAAATCATCGATCAAGAATCCGTTCGATTCGTCTCATCGTCGCCAGAAAACTTCCCCTGCCTTTTCCTTCGTTTTCCCACATTTTATTTCCCAATTTTGGGTTCTTGATAAATAGGTTATTCTTGATTTCATCGTGTTGTTGGGTTATCCATTCATCTGTAAGTAGCTTTGTGTAAATGAGGATTCATGTTGAAGAAATTTATGTTAAATTACTTAAATCTTGTATTTGTTGTTCATTCAATGCTTTCAGTTTTACCAATATATTCTAGTGAGGAAGAAGGGAGGTGAAAAGGGACTGTGGCTGCTTGCACAAATGGCCTTCTAAAGAACTTGCCTAGTTTCCTCTTCTTCCATAAGTTTAGTGTGGGTGATATTTGTTAATGGTATAATGCTGGAGATGCTGATATGTATATACATGAAGGAATATATATAGCATTCCTAGTTATGATATTCTGTCGAATGGAAAAGCTATAGATCATTACTCAGGTAGGATTATAAATTTCCTTGATTTTGGTGTACTAAAATTTTACCCGGTAAGTAATGACTAAAATCTTACCCGGTAAGTAAGGATAGTGTTTGAACTTAAAATCAACAAAATTAAGTTTTTATATGTTAAAAAAATCAAATAAGTTAATAAGCAATCTCAAACACTCCGATAAGTCAATAATATGGAAGACTATCATTTTTGGTCACTTTACAGATATAAGCAAAATTTGTCAAACACTAAAAAACAACTTATCAGCTTTTTGCAGTTTGGTACCGCTATAAGCTAATCCAAACACTTTTTATAAAACTCCGGTTTGATACCACATAAGTTAAATAAGCATTTTTACAAAAAAAAAACATAAGTTATTTTAAACAAGCAATCCCAAACACCCCCTAAATATACAATAAACATGACAGGATTACAAACCTATTTCAAGTTTTATGACACAAAAGCAAACCAAATAGAAAATCCACATGTACAATTTCCAGATACAAATTACCATTGGCTCTCTTTCCATCCTCCAAATTCTTGTGCATGACTTTCTGTTTCCACCTGTATATACAAGCAAAACCATCAAATATGTTTCTATTCATTTGTGAATAAACTAAATTCTATAAATGGAACAGGTGCGTACCCTTGGGGTGAAAGTGAGACCTACTCGAATGTCTCCACGGTAGCTTTGATTCTTATCCACAACCCTGTACTTTTGAAGAAGTAGCTCTGACTTTCCCTTCTCCACTCCAACTGCCAACACTTCTTTCAAGTACATCCTGCATGCAATCCAAATCCAATTACGTTATGTTAATTTAAGCAGTCGTTGCAACTTTATATCAATTTCTTAAGGATTAATTATGGGTCTTACGTTGTCTGTCCAACGTAGTCATCAGGTGAGAAGGTGTCATGGTCCATAATCTTGAAAACAAGCTTAGGTTGTTCATCTGCTCCTGGATATTCTACCCTGAATGTGAATTTTTGGTTCCATTTTGGGTTGCTTCCCTCCCCTGTAGATATCTAGACCATACTTATCAAACACACACACACACACACACATATATATATATATATATATATGAAGAATGTTGAACATGTTTTGTTTACCTTTGGCAATACTGCTCTTGTGTTCTTGATCTCTGTATTGAATCAACACATATGGATCTATTTTATCTGCACCAAAATCAATGGTGCTTGTGAATCTTTAAAGAAAATCTACTTCTCTGGCTTTCTATTAATCATCAAGATTTGTATATATGATCATATCCCACAACCATATATATATATATATATATATATACACAAATTTTTTAGAAGAACAGCACGACCGTAGGTATAATTAATGATTTGAAAGAACAAGAAGAATTGAAATTGAGAAAAATGCATACGGAAGAAATCGTATTTGCTGAGACCATGAGCATCCGCTAGATTCACCTCCATTAATCCGATCGTCATCTCTCTTGCGAAGAAGAAGAAACTGGAAAATTATGATATTGAAACTTGGACTCAGACGACAGCATATATACAAGAAGAGTACTTATAAATTCAACATCATTGTATTTTAAAAATACTATACATTTCTTTAGATCATTAAGCTAATTATCAAGCAAATGTTAGTTTAATGCTAAATGCCAATATAAAAAGGGTGACTCACATAAGCTACAAAGCAATACTTGACCCAATCTCCATTGAAATCTTTGCAATAATGACATATATCAGCATAGAGGGTCCTATCTATACTGTATTATAAACCATTTGCTTAAAACTCTTAAAAACTCTTAAACTCGTTTATCCCTAAGCGATTTCATCTTTATTCGAATTCATCCCATATCTGAATTCGTATAACTAACTGCAGATAAACACAATCAAATACATGATAAACATCTCATTTTAAATATAAAAAATCTAAAATATAATTAGTATAATCATTAAATTCTAACAGAATACTTAATTATTATCTTTATAAAATTTAGAATATTAAACCAAAAATAAATTGTCTTATTATTAACCTTAAATTAAATTATATAAAAAAAAATATTCTATATTATAAATCAGTTGACAAAAACTCTTAAAAATCACTTTTTATACGTAAAGTATTGTTTATTAATGCATATTACTTAAAACTCAAGATTACAAGTAAATTGTGCGTAGGTACAACTTATAAAGCTCCATATCTGAATTCATGTAACTAACTGCAGATAAACACAATCAAATACATGATAAACATCTCA